GTGGCTCCACACCGGTGGGAGCGCTGGAACTGCACGCTGCTCATCCACGGCCACTCCCCCCTCCGCGCCGCCGCGCCGCCCACGATCTTCTGGAAGCCGATCGCCGGCCGGTCCCCGCAGTCTGGAAAGAGAGCGTGGCGCCGGGATACATGAATCCAGGATGCATGTCCGAGTCTACAAGGTAGGGGCGCTGCGTCACATTGGCGGCACGCAGGTGTGTGGGAAGTTCCTGAAAATTTCCGGGAATCTGCCTAGACGGTTCGATCTACTTCTACTATGATAAAAGACAAACATTTCCTAAAAATGAGCTGGTCGGTATTATTCTGCAGGGTTTTCACCAACTATTCGTGAATGGTGAACCTGTTCCTCAACACTTCACGGAAATCATTGCATAGTGTTAAAGAGTAAGTCAGTTCCAGGTGGGAATCTGCTGCTTCACAAGAAAATAGAGTTAATCAAAACCCATACATGCCCAACTCTACTATGCATCTCAGAAACTGATCTAGATGAATTGCAGTTCTTGCTAACTGACCTGTGAGCGCAATTAAACTCTTCCTACAGATGTCGCGACGTGACACGCGTTTCGCTCAGTGATGTTTTGCACGTGATTCAGCACCCACCGCAGTTCCGCTCATCAGCCCTGTTCTTGCAGTCGTTGATCCCATCGCACTCTGGGTTGATTTTGCTGATACACGCCCCCGGCGCACACTTGAAATGACTGCTGCAGTTCACTCGTGGCAGCCCTGCAGAGATCACACTTCATAAACACACAAACATCGCCCTCGGCACCGAGGCCACGGTGCTGTCATGGGTGGCGAAACATTTGGTTCTGCTCATCACCTCAATCTCTTAAAACAGAACTGAGATCTAAAAGAATGCAACAAAAATAGAAAATAAAGTGGGAAAAAAACACATTTTCTGCAAACAAAGAAGCAAGGGAGAGTATGCTGTTGATTTAAGCTCATGTAGAGGGGTGTTAGTGTTACCTGCTGTAGTGGGAGAGGCTGTGACAGTACTGGAGGTAGAGGTGGGCACTGCTAGGCCAGTAGGACTGGTGTTCACAGGGGCAGCAGTGGGGTCTGGGCTGGTATGACTGAGAATCCATTGCCTCAGCTTCGTGACCCGGGAGTAGATGCCAGGGTTATTGGCCTGAGCGCAGCCTGCTCCCCAGCTCACAATTCCAGCCAGAAAGAATCGCCCTGCTGCGTTTTCACACGCCAGGGGGCCTCCAGAATCGCCCTGCATTGGTACACAGACAGGGTGCAATAAATCAGAGCACGGGTGCAAATCAAATTTTGTGTCGGGCCTTGCAAAAGCTTCCTGTGTGCTGTACAACACTGCGTGCGTCGCAAACACTAAAGCAGAAATAGACCGCCCGGAGCTACTATAACAGAACGGTTTGGTTCCACAGACCCAAGCATGCAGAGTTGCAATCTGAAATAAGAACCAGAAGCAAAACTCCCGTCTTCCTCAGCCAGATCAGCTTGGACAGTGCGGAAAAGAATCTGACTCCTCTGCACTACAGTGCAGGCGGTGCCCCCTGACCTGGCAGGAGTCGATCTTGCCCTCCATGAAGCCGGCGCACATCATGTTGTCGGTGATGGCCCCGCTGTAGGAGTAGGAGGCGTTGCAGGTGCCCGAGTCGATGATCTTCACCACAGCCCTCTGCAGAGTGGACGGCAGCTTGCCTGGTCAGAGACACACAAGGCAGAGCTGAGGACATAGCAAGCAAGCCAGTTCCATTGAGGCAACAGAGCGTCTCAGGAAGATCTAGCACATGTCATCTCTTTGATTGAAATTTTTATTACAGGAGTTATTACAGAATTACATTTCACTTGCATATCATAAAGTAGCATAGAACCTGGTATTAATTACATACAAAGCAACAAAAAAAAGTGACCAAAATATCAATTAATTCCTAGCTAGTTTTATAGAATTAGCCGATTCCTACAATATTATACAGCAAAAGACATTTTTTTGAATAAGTGTCACAATATAAACTTTGTTTATATGAGAGTGGCCACATTTGCTAAAACATTTGTAGCATTAGACTGGAGCTGTGGAAAATCCAGTTTGCCTTCTGTTGTGAATGTGGATTCTCTCTTAAACTAAAATCATCTAATATTGTCTTAATCCACAGAGCAAGCAAAAAGAGCATCCATACCTTCCCAGTTTACCAAGATGTACCCCAAAAATATAACTCAAAAGGATGTAATTGGGGTTTAATTACTTTATGCTTTTCGAAAGAGAGGGCTCCAGCTAGGAGCACCGGAGCTAACGAGCTCGTTTGCGAAAGCGACATTGAGGAAACTGTTTCAGTGATCGGCTCCAGGGGCTCCAGTCTCACCAGTGAACTGGCTGAGCTGCCCCCAGCCGGACACCAGGCAGCGCTGCTCGGGCACAAACACGTGGGAGGGAGCCGGCAGGCAGATGGGCTGGATGTAGGGGCCGAAGGTCAGGGGCGTCTCCAGCTCCAGGACCGTGACGTCGTTGTCGGTAGTCAGGTGGTCGTAGCGCGGGGAGACGATCAGGGACTTGATGTTGATCAGCCTGGACTGGGGCTCCCCACCGCTCACCTGGGTCGCCCCCACCAGGGCCTTCCAGTCCTTCGGGTTGCTTGCCCTGCGGGGCGAGGCAAGGGCAGGTGAGGCATTCTGGGAAGTGGTACTGCATTGCCCAGCCTACAGGGGGCCAGGGCAGGTAGCCTGGCCCTGTCCTTTACTAGAGAGAACTATTACCTCAGAGATCTGAGGAGGGAAGGGAAATCTGTGGAAAATAGAGGGCATAGACTGCCCCTCAAGAATCTGTGATATTGACAGTCATGTAAAGAAAAAAAATGGGATTTTGTCCCGATTGAAAATGACTCAGAAAAATGCACCTGAACAAGAGAAATTATTGTTCTGTAAATGTTGCCTTGTCTAACCTTAACAAGATCTGTTCATATATACAGTTTTAGGCATATATATATTAATGTAAAGTGTTCTATTTTGTGATGATCTGTATTGGTGAAAGGTAAATAAAGCCAGTCCTGGAAAGGGCAGAGAGCTGATGGTGGGGGAGGGAGGTCAGAGGAAAGTGGCGTCACCTCTCGAAGCAGTGCGCGGCGCTGACGATCCACCTCTCGTTGACAATGGAAGCCCCGCAGGCGTGGTTCCCCCGCCACTGCAGACCGACTTGCCAAGGGAGCTCTCCCCTCTGGGCGTCCGCGCCCCCCACCACCCGGGTGGAGAGGGCAGGCCTCATCCCGCAGGCTGGAAATCACAGCGGCCATCAGCGCCGCCGCCCAGGCTGGGAGCAGGGCAGCAGACCTTGGCCTGTCTTCCACATACTGCACAGGCGTTCGAGTCCCCAGGGTTTTTTTTTAAACCCGCCCAGAGGGATGCACAAGCAACCCAATCTTGTTTTCAAAGACGGGTTGGAAAGAACCTTGTTACTGGGAAAGACCATAATCAACCCGTGCGAGTGACAGCTCTGAACGTTAACGATTTGTTTCATTTGTCTGTTGTTCAGCAGTTCTGTAGACAAGTAATAGGTTTATTCCATGCTGAAAAGAGAAGAAAGAAAACACAACGTTTCGGACGTGGAGGTGCTCACACCTGAAGAAGGCTCCACGGCCGAAACGTTGTGTTTTCTCTCTTCTCTTTTCAGCTTGGAATAAACCTATTACTTGTTCCTTTGCAGCCTACGCATGCTGACACAGCTCCCCACCTGAACTATTGCTGTAGACATGCGGTTTTCCTTCTCCCTCTATGTGCATGTAAAAGCTATATGCGTGCATGTGTAAATGCATTACTACATGATATTTGGCTCCCTTTCAAAACGTGAGGCAACAGGGTGGAATTACTTTCACCTCCAAACCTATTTTATGTGCGGTATGACTAAGGAGGTGCCACTAGCATCTTGCAGCCCGAGTATAATAGCACACCAGTGCATGACACTCCGAGTCCCACATACCGCACTGGGCTTCGTCGGAGGCGTCGGCGCAGTCCGCTACGAAGTCACATTCAGGGTTGATCTTGGTGACGCACTCCCCATTGTCGCAAGCGAAGGTCTTGGCAGGACAGCCGTCTGCGAACGTGCAGACACGAGAGTCTGTGTCCAGAAAATAATTTTCCACCCCGCAGAGTTTAACGCCCCCCCCCCGCTCTTCCCCAAGGAAAGGATCAAATTAATGATCTCGTTATGGTGTGGTTCTATGGACCCAGATGTGCCGCAGTCCGGATCACGTTTCCTGTAAATCACATCGCTCTGATATGTCAATGGCAATCGGGTTGAGCTTGGCCTCAAGTTGTTTTTTCCTTCGTTTTTAAGACTGCTCAAATCTCACCTTTCCGGCCTCCGATGTTGTAAAAGGACTTCCCACTTGCTCCTGGAAAATGTAATGAAAACAAAAATGGAAATTTTCCTTTGCTTTAAGCAGGCCGTATCAAGGCTAGTGACATCTACTTCAATGAAAGAATAAGACATTTATATTAAAGATGTGGAACTATGGGAACCCTGATTTGACATTGTCAATAATAAATGTATTAAGTGGAGAGTGCATTTGTTTAAAGATCCTAGTGATTTCAAATATTGGGGGTATTATTAGTGAAAATGGCTGAATCTAAAACAACAGAAGAATGTTAAGAAAGCCCTGTCTGTTGTCTTACCCAGCAGCACGATGGAGGTTATTTCCCCAAATCCAGACACCTCTAGGGGGCGCCCTTGAAGCAGGGTGTTCAGTCCCTGTCGCAGGATGTCCTGGACAATGACTTTAGGGAAGGCCCGGACCCTCTCCACCCTGAATGTCATGCGGAAGGTCGCCATCACACTGCCTGTACTGTTCCTGTGTGGACAGAAAATTGCTTTTTTTTAGTGCAAATAAAAATTGGGGGTTTTAAGCAGGAGGTGTCAGAAAAGTGACCTCAGAGATCACTGGCCTGTGGTGGCCGCGTATTCACAGTGACATCGCTTTTTGATTGGTCAGTTTATCCAGTCACTGTGATGCAGATTTCACCAGATTTCACTACAGTGAATGTGAGATGGGATAGAGCAGCGTGCAACGGGTTAATTTTACCCTCCTGGTGATGTGTTGCTGCAATAGTGATTCTGCTCTGTACGAGAAGAACCACAAGTTCACACATCGGGTGTCTGTGCTTGGCTGAGAAGCCAGTGGTATGAAGATCCTATCTGTGGGATTAGGACTGAATCCCTCTAATTCAGAACCCCCCTATTAAAGGTATTTTTAAAGGTATGTGCTGAAAGCCTTCGTTTTAAAGATGGGAATCCACGTGTACTAATGAGCTGAAACAGCAGCGGGTTCAGGTTTTGTGAGATCGACTGAATGGAACCCTAAGGCAGACATTTTAAAAACCCTGAAGGATAGTTGCTTAGTGATGTAGATTTTTCAGGTCCACTGCAAAACAGGTACGGCACAGGCCTTTGTTATTAAAATCCTAATCTCATGCTTTTAACAGGACTGGTCTGCCTGTTGAGTCAAACTCCAGGAGCTTTTCAGTGTCTGAAATAGCCTCGTGAACTCCAGTCTACTGCCTACTGGACACTCTTCTACAAGACCACAGTCAAACAAATCCACTCACCCAAATTTAATAATGTCACTGCCCACAAAAGTATGTGCTACTGAGGAAGCAAGAAAGATGTGTCTGATCTGCGAGAGAGATAAAAACACATTGTGCTTTACTTTCAGTTAACAATGCTTTTACATTCAAGTCTTATTTTGATTGCTTTTTAAGTGCTCCACAGCAGTGCAATGCCCATATTCTGAAAAGGTGCTTTTCTAGGAAAAACAATGATATGCAAACAATGTTTGTAGAATAAATTCAGGTGGGGAGCTGCGTCAGCAAGTGTAGGCTGCAAAGGAACAAGTAAAGGTTTATTCCAGGCTGAAAAGAGAAAAAAAGAAACACAACATTTCAGTTGTGGAGCCTTCTTTGGGTGTGCATCCTCCTTATTTGGGTGTTTGTAGAATGTTTGTTAGCAATAAAAACATTGCAAAGATATGAATTAACCACACAGATATATTTAGTTTTCCCCTTCCCCACTTCTATCAAATTTATTGTTGTTACTTCAGTCTTGCCTCTCTCTCACCTTTCCCCTGAGTGTTGAGGACAGCACAATGTTGTATGCAGAAGTCTTGTCACGTAAACTTGCTTCATACTTGAGGCCTCTCAGTTCCACAGTCCCTATATAGCTGTGCTCCTCTTTAACAAGATAAGCTGCAATGAGAATTAAATGGAGTCTCTAAATCTCTTGGAAGAACAAGGATCTGTGACCTTACTCTTGCCTCCCTGGGCTGCATACAGTAAATAAATTCACACTGTGTTCTGGAAATATTAATGTAAATTTTAGACTATGACTCTTTGCTTGAAGGGGTGGCATGGTAGTGCAGTGGTTTGCATTTCTGCCTCGCAGTGTTGGGGCCCTGGGTTCAATTCCTGGGGTGCTGTCTGTGTGGAGTTTGTATGTTCCCCTTGTGTTGTGTTGTGGGTCAAAAATGTACTGGTAGGTTAAGTGAGTGCTGGGAAAATTGGCACTAGTGGGAGTGTGTGCATGTCTGTGTCTGTGTGTCCTGTGCTGGACTGCTGTCTAGTCTGGGGTGTGTCCTGCCTTGTGCCCATTGCTTGCTGGGATAGGCTCCATCTCCCCAGTGACCATGAATTGGATAAAGAGGTCACAAAATGGATGGAGGTACTCTTGTTTTGGTCAGGGCTGGCCAGTTTGTAATGTGGGCATTTTGCTTTGGACAGGAAGTGGTAAAGGTGACTCAAGAGCTGTTTGAATGCCTGCCTAGTGAAGATCAGAGGACTGGGGGAGGAGTCAGGTTCTGCTTGACTCACCAATGAGGACACCTAGGAAGATTCCCAGGGTGATGAAGACCACGATGAAGACCACAGCCAAGACCTCACAGCAGTGTGAGTCCCTGAATCGGGGAGACGGGGGGTTGCTTGCAGACTGTTTGTCCAGACTCTTCTTCAGTTCCATAGTGGTCGGAAATGGCTCAGCAAAGGTCAATTTCTATTGCTGGAGACAGACAGGCAAGTCACTGTCTTGCACAGTGTTCATTTTAGAAGTCACCATTACTGAGCCAACATGAAAGACACAAATTCCTTAGCAAACACCCCCCCCCCCTGTCCAGGCTGACCCACTGCGGCAAACGATTAGTACAGCCAACAGATAAACAAAATAGATAACATAAAGCAAAATAAAGCTTCTTTCGGTGCTGGAATTAGAAAAATAAGCAGAAGAAGCTGAATTTCCTCTTAGAAACAATATAGTACAAAAAAACCCCTGTGTGTTCAAAGATCACATGTGCAGTGTTTAAATCCGTGGAAGAAGCTGTATAATCAATGGATCAATTAAAATCTAGATGTGCTGAATGAGAACAGGAGGCCCTTCTTTACACAAAGGGTTGTGGGAGTATGGAGGAAGTTACCCAGCCATGTTGTTGAAGCCTATTCTCTGTTTTCTTTCACAAATTGGCTGAATACGATCCTTGAATTAATAGGCTACCAACTACCAGACTGGCTAGATGGACCAACTGGCCTCCTTTCTTTTGTAACTGTTCTAATGATCAGTTCATTTGAGAACTTAAAACAGCGTTTTAAAACAGACAGGTGGGACTTCCTGTATCTCACGGGTTATTTTAAAAAAGCATTGAGGGTTTTGGGTAAGTTAGTTTTCTCCGTACTAACTTTTAAATAGATTGTTATTCATATCTAAACATCAGAGCTCACAGATATAGTTACTATTCTTGGGCTAAACACAAACTAGTTTTGTCGGTTGCAAATTACAAGCCACACATTTTGTATTATGCATGGACAGACTGTGAAATAAGAGACCAGTTGGATCAATGCAACAGCGCATCAACACATCTCTTTGTCTTCATCGGTTCATCTACACACAAGTGGCAATCTTTCAGTAACCCTGTCTTCTGAGACTCCTCTGTGCTCTGAGGCTATCTGGCCTGACCAGGAATCCCTAGTCCTAGTCTTGGAGGGTCAGTGTTTGTTGTCCAGCTGGGCTCCTAAAGACCCCAATCAGCTCATTACTGGGTCTAAATGGACCTTTTTAACAGCTTCTCTTCAGGTGCTCTTCAGAAAAGAAATCAAGAAAACAAAAGCAGCTCCTGAAAGGGGGGA